AGATCCCAACTTTGTGACGGAATAATTTATTTTCATCAGTAAATTGTGATAGATTTTAAATCCGTCAGAATTTTTTCGTCGATAATTTAAAATTTTTTTGTAGTGAGTCTTATATTATATATTTTTAAAAATAACATATAAATGTTAATACTATTTCAAACTTAAATTGAAAAATCTAAAATATTAATATATTATTTTTTCGAGTAGCTCGCAAGCTTTTCGATTTGAGTTTCAAGTAACTCGATTCGATTTGTTAAGAATTCGAGCCGAGTCCATTCGATTGAATATTGACTGAGTTTTGCCCAAATCGATCTCGAGTAGATCGAACTCAAGTCAAGTTGACTTGAACCAAACTCGAACTTGACTCGAAACTTAACGAGTTGAATCGAGCAAAGTTCAACTCGATTCGATAAGTTTGCGAGTAACTCGTTAGTTTTTTTTATAATTTTTTGCTAGTTATCTTAAAATTACTTTATTTAAAAAAATTACTAATTTACTAATAGATAACAAAAAGATGATAAATTATTAATCTATTAATTTTCTAATAAATAATTAAAAATACTAAATTACTAATTATTATTTTATTACACTAAAAAATAAACCCTAATTATTATTTTAATATATTTATAGATTGTTATTTTGGTTTTTAGACTTTGAATTTGTTTCATACACTCTTTTGATAATTTTTTGTTAAATTTATATTCATATTCAATACGATATAATATTAGTAGATTTTACTTATAATTAAAAAATAAAATAAAAAATTTGGTAAACTTAACGAGTAATAAGGCGAACAACAAGCTTAACGAACGAGTCGAGCAACAAATTTTCTTAATGAGCACGAGTCGAGCAAAATTTTAACGAGCTTAACGAGCAACAAGTCGAGTCGAGCAACAAAATATTTTAACGAGCACGAGTCGAGAACTACCCAACTCAAGATCGACTCACTCGATAAATACCCTTATTTCTAGGAATAATAATAATCTCTTTGACTATGAATAATTTCATTTAGTTTTAAAAAAATATATTAATATTTATTTATAAGTTTTACGAAAATGTTGTATTTTTCTCTTTGATGATGTAGTTTGACGCGGTTTACTCACATGTATGTATGAAATTCTAAGCATTAAAACATCAAATATTATCTTATATCTAATTATTTATACATATATATTAAATATCTTTTTATCAAAATATATATAAATTGTCTAATTAAGTTGAAATGGTGAGTTAACGTTATCTGAGAAATTATCAATTCTTCTCTATTTAAAATATGTCGACATCCTTTTCAAAATCACATAATTTTTTCTAAAAACAAAACAATATTCGGTTATTAGGCATAATAGTTGATCTCTCGCATTTACGCTCAGGGTGAATGTTATCGGTCTCAATAAACGAATACCCTTTTCAAACTCTGCATCCTTAATGATTTTTAAATTAAATAAAGATTGAACTCAAAATTTTCAATTTTAAATATAGGGTAACAAACTAGGTACCAATTTTTGGGCGCTTATGGCGATGTTAATCCTTCCTCACGCGTAACCGACTCCCGAACATGATTTCTAGATTTTCGTAGACCCCAAAACTCGATATTTCATTAAATTAAAATGCTTTATTAAAATCATCCGATTTTTATGGTGTTCCAATCTCACCTTAAATGATTGGTGGCGACTCCTCACATTTCGAAAATATTTTCAAAGAGAAACCCATTGCATTTATTATGTGTGATAATGACCACAAATGGATTCTTCTAACAATGAATATGGTCAAGGCTTCTTGGAAAAGGCCAAACGTTCCCACTTGATTTTCATTCATGTATTTTTCTCATTATTAATTCAACAAAACACCAAATTTACATAAAGGACGAAATTGCAAAAAAAAAACATATATAAGTAAACTTAAGTTGCTGTTGATGGGATACTCAACCCTACATCTTTGACTTTCTAATTTGTATATTATGATGAAGTTATTTTATGCGAATTAAGTGTTGCAGTATAACGAAGCTAAGTTCATATAGGAGAGAGCACAACCAGTGTAATTCAACAACTGTCAAAGATCAGGCAAGTAGACCTATCAGTGATTATGTCAATGTATTAACTATTTAAAAGTTTCTGAAAGCTCTGAAAACTTTGATAAACCAATGAGTAATCACGGTGTGATTTATAAAGGAGGTTTGAGAGTACAACACATATATTAATACTTAGTATAATATAAAAAACGTACCCTAAAATTTAATTAAATAGCCAACTTTAATCCATATTTTTTAGAATATTTTAATCCATTAATATTTCATTTTTAAGATAAAAGATAATAATAATAATAATAATAATTGTTGAGTTGAGAGGGTATTGGGGAAGTGAGCGAGGCCAACAAGTCAGGAATAGTAGGGCGGCCACTCTGCCACCGCCGAAAAAGTCTATCTGTTTTCTGTAACGCCCACATGCAACCTTTTCTATTTCTTTTTCCCCAAATTACCCTTATTTCTAAAAAAAAACACAATTAAAACTCATTTTTTATTGTTAAAAATAATGTTTAGAATATTTTTTTTCAATTTCCACTACACTTTAGATTCACAATATTTTTAAAATGCATTATTATATATTTATTTAGGCAAACTGTCATACAGTTTGAGATTTATTTTGTCACAAGTAATACTGGGCGAGAGATACAAATATGAATAGTGGAATTAGTGTGGCATTAGGCAAAACTATAAACGATATTAATTGATAATTTAGTAGACGAAACGACCAAGCCACTCAAATGTAGAGAAGGATAAACCTATGCGATTGTTATATATACATGCATACTTTAAGGACAAATTCCAATCAAATATGAAATGGACCCCACAAGATTACTAATATAATTTGTCCAAATATTAAAACCACCATTGCAATTTGCAAAGAATGCAACTCCCTTTGATTCCTACAACTTACAACACCCTTTTAAGTGAAAAGATAATCTCAACATATATAATCCCATTCTCTTAATTAATTTTCGTAAGAAAAATAATAATAAGAGTAGAGGGTAAAAGAGTGAAAATAAGAGGGTTACGAGGTAGTTTGGATGATGGCATAGTTGGCTTCCCTAGGCCATTGGGAGCACATGGAGATAGGGGTGTAAAATGTTGACCTGACTTGTAAAATTGACTGAAAGCGATTCGAGTTAAAATTATTTTTGACATGTGTTGTGGTGATCTGAAATCGACTCGAGTCGGAACTAGTGTTGACCTGAACCCGAGTTGGACCTGGAAATTGTGGATATGAACCTGACCTGCACCCGACCTGAGAACGACTTGAACCCGAATTGAATCGAAAATATGATATCCGAACCCGAACTGCATCCAACTGATATGAACCCGAACCCGAGATTGACCTGGTAAATAACTGGTATTACCCGACCTGTTTTCAACCTGACCTGTTATGAACTTGACATGTAATTGACTCAACCTGTAAATGATCCGACATGTTGTTTACAATAATCTGATATTGTCATGACTTATAAGTAATAAGTTACAATTAATATAATTATGTTACTTTAAATTTATAATAAACTTATAATAATTAAATTAATATGATTACTTTTTGAAATTTAGTTTTTATATTAATTATAATTTGTATATTATAATTCTGATTTTTATATTAATTCTAATTCTTTATATTATTTATAATTCTTATATTATAAATTTTATTTATAATCACTAAATTAAATTTAAATATTGTCTTATTGAACATGATTTTATTAAATTATATAAATTGAATTAAAATATTCATAAATCTAATTTACTTTTAATGTGAAAATTGATTAATAATTTAAGTATAATTTAACTTGTAATTTTAAAATAAAAATATATTAGTTGAAATGATGTACTTATTAAAGATTTGAAACTTGAATAACATTACAAATACTAAAACAAAAAATTTATAAATGAAGTTAATTTTATTACACTTAAAAACACTAAAATTACAATAAAATCAACTAAACAAAATAAATTTATGTTGGAATAAATGCTCTCAGATCTTATAGCTAAGGTTTTACAAGGCTAAAAGCCTAACTATACTACCAGAAATATCTTCATCGAGCCTTTATACCTAAATATTGCCAACATGTTTAATTGCGGGTAACTTTCTAACTTTAAAAGCCAAAATGCCACCAACATAATTCCACATGAGTAACTATTTAGATAAAAATTTATAAGGTTCAAAAATTGATTTAAGTCAGACCAACAACAATAATTTACAAGACATCAGTGAGTAATAGACAACAGCAACCGGCAAACATCAATGTACCAATTCAACAAGCATCATTGCATCAATTCAGCAAGCATCCTGCATTAAGAAAGCATACAATCAGTGATAAAGCCAAAGGGAATTCGATTGTCAACAGTGCCAAACATTTTCGACTTTACCAAACCCTTACAATTCAAACATAAAGCCTGCATTGAGATTCAACAAATAAGAATCACTAAAATTACTAAACAGCAGATGGCATTATAAATAGCACCATATATGCAAATTTCCACCATCTGTAGGACAGTTTGCCATATACTCAAGGTCTGACAACTCTTCTAATGAGAGCAAAAGGGTGCACACTAAAATATGAGCCAGCACGTGAGAGCAGAAACAAGAAATATCAAAAACCTAAGAACAGACTAGGAGACTACTACTACAAATTGTCTACAGAAGTCTGGCATTTGTCTAATAAGACACCTATGAATAGGGTTTAATCAGAGAAACGACTTTGAAACCATATAAAAGAGCACTAAATGATGTAGAAACCATATCTATATAAAGGGAAAAAATAATTTAATGCATTATATTGAAACAACTATTCCTACAGTATAAAATAACAATATACCAAAATTTCAATATCATTAAGATTCTTGTTAAAAAACACTTTAGAAAATAACAGAGCAATTAATTTCATAATAAGTTAATAGTGTTAGCCCAAATTTTAGTAAACCCCAATTTATGTGGAGAATTAGAAATATACTCACTCAAAGTAGCATCTTGATCAGTAAGAACATTGTCTAAGAGCTTATGGACTGCAATACAGTCCTTGAGTTTCCACCTCATTACTGTTCCAAGTGCTCCATTGCTGAATTATTAAGAGAGACAATGAGATCAATTTGAATTGCATGGAATCAACATAAACAAGTCAAAAAATTTGATACACTAAAAGCATTACTTTAAGACAACTTTATTGGACGAATCTTCAATTAACTTAACATCTTCAAGTTTCTTAGTAGGATCCAAGACATACAACATTTCTGCAACTGCCACTCTATGCATTAAAGAATCTGCAGAACAGAGATGTATATATATTGAATGACTATTAACACTACCTCATGGAGCCTAAAATGCATCATATTATGTAAAGCCCAATTACCTTCATGTTTACCAAAGAAAACTTTGTTTGCCTCAGTAAGTTTTGTCCTGCAATTCTAGTTTCATATTATGTAGTACTGATAACAGAATGAAATTCCAGTTGGGAGAATAACTATCATAAAGCCATTTCAAAAGAACCTGATGGATGGGCGCTTGACTTCTAAGACACTCCAAACAAGTTTTTCTGCATCAGACACTGGAGAAGGCATCGAGTCCACCTTATGGAAAAATTTAATCTGTGCATTGCATTCAATTCTAATAAGCAGCATACAGACTGGATGATCTTTGTAACTAACTCAAAAAAGAAAAAAAGGATGTATTTGCACATGTTGGTGCACAATATGGTAATGCAAAATAGAAAATGCTGAATACCAAGCAGCGATGTGAATCCGGATTCTTAGCATCCAACCTTAACAGTTCCTTTACAGCCTTCATGAGAAAAACAAAAACAAAAACATATTAGTATTAGTATTAGTATTAGATCATAAACTAATAAAAGTACAACTGAGCAAAACAGTTGTTCTTCAACTCAAAGATATGTTCCACAAACTATCTAATTCAAACACAAAAATCATTGACACTTCGTTTTGAAACACGAATGCGAGTTTAATTGAATTTAGTTTACTAAATAAATTATGAGAAACAAATGCAAACACTATATGCAAATTACTAAACTAGTTAAAATTCAAGTTAAAAAGATGAATTTGAAATTCAAATACCTATCTTGCTATTCCTACCACTAAAATGGGATTCAACAATCCATAACTTTGAAAATGTGCGGGGCTGAAGAGGAGGAGATGCGGATGAGCAATTCTCGATGGCATTGGCGGCTGGACTCAACGTCGGAGTGGAAGTTGAAGTAGGGCTGGTGCCACTGTTGACTTGGCAAACATGCCCCTTCTTAGGAAGCCCACACCTGTCGCAGTTGTAATTGCCCACCGGCGTTTCACCGGCTTGAAATCAAACGCCGTTGTGGCAGAATACGCCGAGGCCGAAGAGGAAATGCGCGACTTTGGATGGTGCATCGCCGTTCGGCAAACAGAAACAACAATGAAAGATGGAAAACGAGAGAAAAAGAGAGATTTTGGATGCTGAGCGGGAAAGAAGAGAGACCGAAAATAAAGGAGGGAGGGTTTGGCCGGGAAGAGGAAGGAGAAAATGGGCAAATGGCTATTTTTGGCGCGTGTTTGCAATTTCATCCCTATCAAATTTATATTAATAAACTATTTATAATTAATATTAAAATAATTATACATTATAATTATATATTATAATTAATATTAATATTAATATTAACTTATATTAATATAATATAGGTTATAATTTGTAATTAATATTAATATAAAACATAGTCTATAAAATTAATATTAATATAAACTATATGTTATAAATTATATAGTATAGTTTATAAACTATATACTATATTAATATAAATTATAGTTAAGATAATTAACATTAATATAAACTATATAGTACATTAATATAAACTATAGTTTATAAATTATATACTATAGGTTATAAAGTATAAACTATATAGTACACTAATACGAGTAATTGTTTATAAACTATAGGTTACATATATAGTTTATATAACATATAAATAGATTGTATATATACATATACTATAGGTTATATATATATATAGTTTGTATATACTATACATAGTTTATACATACATGTACTATAAGTTACATATATAATTTACATATATTAACTATTGTTTATGCATATTGTTTAGGGTTTATATAAAATATATACTTTATTACTTTATATAGTTTATGCATAGTGTTTATATATATATATATATATATATTACTTATATTAGTTATACATACATATATATACTATATTAATATAATTTATAATTTATAAACTATATATTTTATATAGTTTGTACCTATATAGTTTAAATATATACATACATATATATAGTATATTAATATAAATTATATTTTATACACTATATACTTTTTATAGTTTATATAAATAGTATATAAATATATATATTATATAAATATAAACTATAGTATGTAGTGTATAATTATAAACTATAATTTATATATATAGTATATACTATATAAATAGTTTATATAGTTCACTAATAAACTATATATATAGGTCATATGTAAACTATATAGTTTACATAATTTATATATATAGTTTATATAGTTTATACATATAGTTCATATGTAAACTATATATTATATATAGTTTATACATATAGTTCATATGTAAACTATATATTATATATAGTTTACATATAGTATAAGTTAGTTTATATTGTTTATATATAGTTTAAATACTACTATCTATAAACTATATAATTTATATATAATTCCATAAATTAACCCTAAATCATAAAGCCTAAACCTTAAACCATATATATATATATATATATATATATATATATATATATAACTATATAGTTTATATTGATAAACTATATAATTTATACAATATATTATTTATATTATACATAATATAATATATATATATATATAGTTTTTACGTAATATATATAGATATAATATAGTTTATATAGTATATAATAATATAAATATAAATTATATAGTTTATATATATAATACATATACTTTTGAAATGAAAGCAATTTAGTCTATTTTACAGTATTTTTTGCACATTTTGCGATCATTTTGATTTGATATCTTTGTGTTGTTTAATTTATTTAAATTTAAATTTAAATTTGTAATTTTATATTTGTTAAATTTAGTCCTTAAAATTATATTTGCATCTGAAATTGACCCATACTTATTACCTATTTCTATTTTTTAATTGGCCCATAACTTTTAAATGGGTATAATTTAGTACCTTTTTGTATTAATTTAAACCTCACAATTTAAAATTACTTCGATTTGATCCTTCACAATGTGTGTTGTTTAGTTTATTTAAATTTTAATTTGTAATTTCATATTTGTTCAATTTAGTCCTTAAAACTATATTTGCATATGAAATTGACCTATACTTATTACTTATTTATATTTTTTAATTGGCCCATAACTTTTTAAATGAGTTTAGTACTTTTTGTATTAATTTAAACCTCACAATTTAAAATTATTTCGATTTGATCCCTTTGTGTTGTTTAATTTATTTAAAATTTTATTTGTAATTTCATATTTGTTTAATTTAGTCCTCCAAATTAGATTTGCATCTGAAATTGACCCATACTTATTACTTATTTATATTTTTCATTGGCCCATAACTTTTTAAATGGGTATAATTTAGTACTTTTTTGTATTAATTTCAACCTCACAATTAAAAATTATTTTGATTTGATGCCTCATCAATGTGTGTTGTTTAATTTATTTAAATTTTAATTTGTAATTTAATATTTGTTCAATTTAATTATTAAATTTGTATTTTTCATAAAATTGAATCATGATTATTTATATTCTTAGTAATTTACTCTAAATCATATACAATTACAAATTGCAATTCAACGTTCGTGAAAGACGAAAATAATTAATCCAAAAATAAAAATTAATCCGATTTGAACTCAATCCATATCTGATAGAGATCAGACCTGAATTTTATCTGCCAATGATGTGACCCGATCTGAACGAGATCCGCCTGAAGTCCATCTGAACTTGAATTAACCTACTTTTTAACTGCTCCGGACTTGAACTATTTTGACATGAACTGACATCGATCCGAACTGAAAGGAACCCAACCTGAACCCAAACTGTACCTGGTGTCAAATTAACCTAAAAATGACCCGACCTTATTTGACCTGGACCTGACCTGTTCCGAGTCGAAACATCAAATTTACCTGACTTGACTTATATCCGATTTTACCAGACCTGACAGAATCCGACTGAAACCTAAACGATTACCCGATTTTACATCCCTACATGGAGAGGCACATGCCAGTGAAGATGATTTGGAGTGTAGCCTTCCAACAGGTAATTCCCCCTATTATTTAACTTATCCCATTTACATATAGATACAAAATTTTATGTTAAAAATGTAAATTTTTAAGATATATATATTAAAAATTTAGAGATGCATAATTATAAATTTTTGGAGAATGTGATTTAAGTCACTAGCAGAAAACATAAAAAAATATTCAAAATATACAAAAAATTAAAATTTTTAAAGATGTGAATACACTCTTCAATACCCCTCAATCCATCATTACATAATAATATAGGTACCTAATTGACTAGAGATTTTAAGATCTAAGTTCAAAGGAACAACCTAATTGCATAAATCGTGTGCGGTCATTGTGGATTTTTTTTATCCCAAGTCCGTTCATGTGATGTAAACAGTGCTCAAATTGGTATAGGCTAAGCAAAATTTTTACTTACCATTGTGTGTCTCGGTGAGCCATGTGAAAGCGAAGTAGGACCGCTTCAAGAAGACTATTGGGCATAGTTCTTTCAAACCCTTGTAGAACCAGACGATGTTCATAGCTTTATGGACATATCCATGCGAACTAGAATTCTTTTCAGAAGGGCAATTATGCGAAGTATATCATCGTTTTACACAAACGACATAACAATTCAAGGACATCATGTCTGCTTGTAAGTTATTAAAGTAAATATGTTGTCACAAGGGAATGTTCAAAGAAGGACATCTACCTATCATATACAATTATCAATTGTAGAGTCTATTATCACATCGAGTCAGAATGATTTTGATAAAATGACCAATTTCATTCATGTGAGAGATTGTTGAAAAAAATTGATAATTTTGGAACTTTGAATAAGAAATTGATCCAAACGTTGTTGATGAAAACGTGAAATCAATTGTTGGTTTGTACATGTGCAGATGTGCACAATGTGGGTAATGTGAATGTCTAAACCGATCGGACTCTTTGTGGGCTTGGAAATATTTTAAAAATTGCTTGATTGTTTGTTTCTCATTTATGTTTCATTAGGTCAAAATTATCAATTGTTCACAATGTGAAATCCCTATAAATATTGTGTAAACCTACTATGTTAAACACAATTTAAAACAACTCAAAAAAATTCAAAAAAGAATTTTCTTTTCTTCTC